CTTGTATTTGAATGTTCAACCAACAAAAACATGTTTTAGATTAACCATCCCATAATTTTGCCGGAAACTCCCTAAATTGAATTTCTCAAACCATACTTGGCAGCTGTTTGCAGTGTAGATTTTCCCTGCAGCCCAGTGCAAGCGATCAGCTCACGCCATAGTTTGCTAAGTTGTTTTATACCTAGCTTAACTATGGTTTATGGATGTTTACCAGTAGTACCGCACAAGGCGGTGGCGGAAGTTTCAAAAATAGGAAACCGATAAGAGAGATTGGTTGTTGTGAATCAGGGATGGCAGAGCGAATCCACTGATGGACCGAAAGGTGCTTGAGGTCTCCTCTCTTTCTCTCTCTTTCTCTGACTATCTACCCACCTACCAACCTATCTTCTATGTATCTATCTATCTATCTATCTATCTATCTATCTATCTAAATATCTATCTATCTATCTATCTATCTGTCGAACTATCTATCTACCTATCTATCTATCTATCTGTCTGTCTGTCTGTCTAACTGTCGACCTGTCTATCTGTGGTGCAGTGTCATTCAGTGAAATGTAGTGTAGTGTAATGTAGTGTAGTGTAGTGGAGTGTAGTGGAATGTAGTGTAGTGTAGTGTAATGTAGTGTAGTGTAGTGTAATTTAGTGTAGTGGAGTGTAGTTGTGTATTCGTAGTTGTAGTTGTAGTGTAGTGTAGTGTAGTGTAATGTAGTGAAGTGTAGCGGAAGGTAGTGTAGTGGAGTGTAGTGTAGTGTAATGTAGGTTAGTTTAGTGTAATTTAGTGTAGTGGAGTGTATTGTAGTGGAGTGTAGTTGTGTAGTTGTAGTTGTAGTGTAGTGGAGTGGAGTGTAGTGTAGTGTAATGTAGTGAAGTGTAATGGAAGGTTGTGTAGTGTAGTGTAGTGGAGTGTAGTGTAGTGTAACGTAGTGTAGTGTAGTGTGATTTAGTGTAGTGGAGAGTAGTGGAGAGTAGTGGAGCGTAGTGGAGTGTAGTTGTGTAGTTGTAGTTGTAGTGTTGTGTTGTGTAGTGTAGTGCAGTGCAGTGTAGTGGAGTGTAGTGTAGTGTAATGTAGTGTAGTGAAGCGAAGCGACATCTGAACCTCCAAAAGTGGTCCGAAACCCTTGTGTTTTTAAAATTTTGACTTCGAAATGTGCTTCGCGCCACAACGGCGTGCACTTTTTCGACATCTGAACCTCCAAAAGTGGCGCGAACATGTGGTTTTTTGTACGTTTGGACTTGCAAATGTGCTTCGCGCCACAACAGCGTGCACTTTTTCGACATCTCAACTGCCAAAAGTGGTCCGCACCCCTAGTGCTTTGTACATTTTGACTTGCAAACGTGCTTCGCGCCACAACGGCGTGCACTTTTTCGACATCTCAACTTCCAAAAGTGCATGAATAGGTTCCTGAAATGGCCATTTAGTTTATGGGAGATCTGTCTAATAGTTATGCAATGTGGTTATAAACCACCTTCTCACTTGTGATGCCCCGGCACTGCTCCCAAATCGCAGGATGATGGCGATGACGACGGCGACGGCGATGATGATGGTGGCGATGACGACTATGACGATGATGATGATGACAGCCACAGCCCGAGATTGTCATATCATATAGTGGGCTCAGTTGGTGGATTGTTCAAGGAAACTTCTAGAATCAGAAGGAACTGTAGGTTTGGTTATCAAATATGGATTATGATTCAGTGATATTCCATGATATCCAGGTTTTGATTCCACTCAACCACCGTATTCAAATGACATAAGCGACTCAGCGTTCTGAGTTCCGCTGGGGCCCAGAACTATAACCTCACTCGAAATTAACACCAGTTCAGGGTATTCAGTTCACCCCATTTACCCTGCTAATCCAACCTAGCTATGGATAATGGCCTATCTAATATAGATGTATCATGATGTACCAATTTAAAAAATATGATGTACCTATTTATGTTAAATGATGATTTGTGTTTAAGTTCGCTACGTTAAATGACCAGAGGGTATACCTCCCGGCTCGCCATTTCTGGGAGCCCTCAGATTTCAGGTGAGGAAACATCAAATCACCAGATGATTGCCCCATGTTTTCTTCAGCTTTGCGATCTATGGTTCCATGATCATTTGCCAGTATGAACGTTGATGACCAATAGCAAGATTGATTGATACATACCTGATCATGCCTGTGTTTTTCTCAGCTTATACTGTACCACCATTTTTGCTAAATTACACTGTTGTCCAATCCCGATTCCAATGGGTTCAGTCTGTATTTGTTGCTGGTATCTATATTTATATATATATATTATAAATCCAAATTTCCAGCGTTGAATTCATAATTCCTGCGGCGTGAAATCCCAGTCTCTCGTTTCAAACTCCCAAATCTTTCTACCTACAGGGTGGTGCCCACCAGTTAGATATGTTGGTTTGTAAGCCCATATAATTAATCTATCTACCAGAATCTACTTAATGCCAACACCGGTAATAACCCCCCAGAAGGTCAGGGTATACCTTTCAAGGTCTTTCCTGGTGTCACCCCTTAATAAACGCCCTCTGAACCATAAAGTTTTGAATATGGCTTACGTCAATTAGATCTTCATGGAATTCCATTGGATTTGATGGGATTTGATTGTTAAAATCTCATGGGTTCCACAAGATTCCATCAGATTTGATAAGATTTGATTGTTAAAGATAGCATGGATCCCATAAAGACTCCATTGGATTTGATGGCATTTGACTGCTAAAACTCCATGGGTCCCACAAGATTCCATTGGATTTGATGGGATTTGATTGCTAAAATCTCATGGATTCCCAGCAGATCTCATTGGATTTGATGAGATTTGATTGCTAAAATCTCATGGATCCCAAAAGGTTCCAGTGGGTTTGATCAGATTTGGTTGCTAAATTTCATGGGTTCCGATAAGATTCCATTGGATTTGATAAGATTTGATTGCTAAAACCTCATGGATCCCACAAGATTCCATTGGATTTGTTGAAATTTGATTGCTAAATTCTCATGGATTCCCAGCAGATTCCATTAGATTCGATGAGATTTGATTGCTAAAATCTCATGGATCCCATAAGATTCCATTGGATTTGATGAGATTTGATTGCTAAAAACTCATGGATCCCATAAGATTTCAATGGATCTGATGGAATTTGATTGCTAAAATCCATTGGATCCCAACAGTTTCCATTAAATTTGATGAGATTTGATTGCTAAAACCTCATGGACCCCACAAGATTCCATTGGATTTGACGAGATTTGATTGCTAAAATCTCATGGATTCCCAGCAGATTCCAATGGATTTGATGAGATTTGATTGCTAAAAGCTCATGGAATCCCATACGATTCCACTCGGTTTGATAAGATTTGATTGCTAAAATCTCATGGGTCCCAAAAGATTTGATTGTTAAAATACCATGATCCCATAAGATTCGATTGATTTGAGGAGATTTCATTGTCAAAATCTCATGGATCCCATATATGATTCCCTTGGGTTTGATGGGATTTGATTGTTAAAATAGCATGGTTCCCAAAGGGTTCCATTGGATTTGACCAGGTTTGATTGCTAAAATCACTTGGTTCCCATACAATAACACTGGATTTGATAAGGTTTGATTGTTAAATTTTCATGGTTCCCAAAAGATTTGAGTGTTAAAATAGCATGGTCCCCATCAGATTCCATTGGATTTGATGAGATTTGATTGCTAAAATTTCATGGATCCCACAAGATATCATTGGATTTGATGAGATTTGATTGCTAAAATCTCATGGGCCCCACAAGATTCCATTGGATTTAGTGAGATTTGATAGCTCAAATTTCAATGATTCCCAAAAAGATTTGATTGTTAAAATAACATGGATCCCATAGGATTCCATTGGATTTGATGCGGTTTGATTGTGAAAATCTCATGGATCCCATTTGATTCCATTAGATTTGATGAGATTTGATTGCTAAAATCACATGGGCTCCATAAGATTCCATTGGATTTGATGAGATTCGAATGCTAAAATCTCATGGATCCCATAGGATTCATGGATCCCTTGAGATTCCATTCGATTTGATGAGATTTGATTGCTAAAACCTCATGGATCCCATAAGATTCCAATGGATCTGATGGAATTTGATTGCTAAAATCCATTGGATCCCAACAGTTTCTATTACATTTGATGAGATTTGATTGCTAAAACTTCATGGATCCCACAAGATTCCATTGGATTTGACGAGATTTGATTGCTAAAATCTCATGGATTCCCAGCAGATTCCAATGGATTTGATGAGATTTGATTGCTAAAATCTCTTTGAGCCCACAGGATTCCATTGGGTTTGGTTAAATTTGATTGCTAAAATCTCGTCGATCCCATAGGAGACCAGTGGATTTGATGAGATTTGATTGTTAAAATCTCACGAACCCATAAGATTCTAGTGGATTTGATGAAATTTGATTGCTAAAATCTCATGGATCCAATAAAATTCCATTGGT